GGGAACTCTCTGTAGATCTTTTTTTGATTGATGCGTGTCGCGCGCTTTTACGTTTAGTGTTTAAATCTACCCGGTCAGTTTTCTTAATGGTTTCGACACCTTCGCGAAAATCTGTTCATGTTGTTAAAAGTGGGAACTACAAACGTCTTCCGGGAGAGTACGAAGTAGAACAAATTCTGGATGTTAAGGTCGTAGATGGAAGTGAGCAGTTCCTAGTCAAGTGGAAAGATCACGACGAGTTTGTCCCTGTTCCCTGTTTATTTTTAGCTCTCATAACACATGGGAACCCGTTGGTAATCTGGCCTGCCCGAGGATTCTTCATGAATTTTTCCTTCAAAGGTCTTTGACCGAAGAAATAGTCGTCGATGTGGAGGTATTGTCACCAACCTCCAAGCATTTGCCTTAGGTGAACAGCGACAAACCGTACGGGTTCGAACGTGGCCTCGCGCCAACATGCATTACTGGCGTTACAAAAGTTGATGACGAGCTATATTTTTTGATTAAATGGTAGAGTTGTGCCTTTACTTTATGAACTTCTAGGAAGGGCAGGAAAGATCCGGATGTCGTTCCTGCAACGCAGGCCAATGTCAGATGTCCTCAGCTAGTTATCGGATTTTACGAAAGTATTCTGTATTTTCAATGACTTCGGTGGGATTGCTAACTTTGCCTTTAAATGACGTCTATTCGTGGCTGATAGCCCCGATTTGATTGCATTCATGCATTTACTTAACTACAATCCATCAATCTGTTTCCGCCAGTCACCCTATTCCTTTCCGAGGTTTCTTCTATATCAACTATACACGTGAAACACAATATTTTAATAAACGTTTTGTGTTTAAATTAGTTTCAGTCCAAATTTGGCGCACTCGGATCCGTGAAGTTTTTCGTAATTATTTTACTTCTAATGTTATAGGCCATGACTATTTGACTTAACCGACAGTAGATTTCACAGCCTTGCCTGTAGGTTCACTCCGGACTGTTCAGTTGATGACTTTTACTTCCAGACCGTTGCTTAGTTGGCTTTAAATTTCCAAACGGCAAAGACCGTGGGACCATTGTCCTGTCTAGCCGGGGATCTACGGATGCGTAATCTTCGCTCTCAACAGTTAATGTTTTCTCTTATCAACGGTAGAATCAGAAGCCGGAACCTCGACCCTTTCTTCTGCGTGAAGGTGTCATCAGAGGCGTTCACCTGTCTAGCATCTCGGACCACCTTAGACCATTAATACGCAAAATTTCTGTTCTGCTGGTATAGAATAGGATTGCTGTAACTGTAGGGCATCTACTTCAACTCAACACGTTTTCGGGTAACTGTTGTGAGAACACCTTTCAGTGCCGTTTTATTCTGAAATAAGTGGCCTCCCAACTGCAGTTATAGATCAGACACAACAGCGTTACTAGGTCTCAGAGGACCTAGCCAAGACTGTTTAGAGCACAACAATATAAATAGCGTTTAGGTGAAACTTTGTCAAAACT